CCGACAGATGGCCATCCAGCTTCTGTTTAAAAGCTTCCAAAGAGGGAGCTTCCACCACACTCCGGGGCAGAGAGTTCCACTGCTGAACAGCTCTCATAGTCAGGAAGTTCTTCCTCATGTTCAGGTGGAATCTCCTTTTTTGTAGTTTGAAGCCATTGTTCCATTGCGTCCTAGTCTCCAGGGAAGCAGAAAACAAGTTCACTCCCTCCTCCCTGTGACTTCCTCTCACCTATTGATACATGGCTATCATGCCTCCCCTCTGCCTTCTCTGTGTCCCGGAATGTGGTAGAGGCTTCTTCTGTGGAGGCTTTTAAACAGAGATTGGATGGCCATCTGTCGGGGGTGCTTTGAACACGATTTTCCTGCTTCTTGGCAGAATGGGGTTGGACTGGATGGCCGACCAGGTCTCTTCCAACTCTAGGATTCTAATGCAGAGAAACACTTCTGGGGAAAGCCCAGCCTGGGAATTGAGGAACCCAGAATTCATTGTGTTACTGCTGGGATTGCCTTCTCTTGCCTGCCCTTGAGTCTGTGCACACCTGATGTTGAGATGCTCTGACGGCAGTTTAATGAGACAGCAAGACTCACCTCCTTTGTGCTGCTAACAAGGCTTTCGAAGCCCGGCCCGATCAAAGGGCTCTGGGGTTCGTGGGCAAGGGTTTCCTGTTCTCCTCAGATCTGGCTTTGCTTTCTAGCCTCAAGTCTTTGCTGCTGTGCGCTATTGTTCCCTTGCCTTTTAGATCCCTGTGTTGAATTTGTGATATGAAGCAAAACAAGACTCCTCTGAGCAGCTCATTATCTTAACAGGTAGCTACTAGATATGCACAAAAGAGGTGATTAACAAAGAGGAATATCAAAGTGTATGTATGGCTCCTCCTTGATGACATGATGGTAACAGTCTTGGGCATCAATGGGTCCTAAAGTGACCCATTTAAGGTGGAATCAGGTGTCAAACAGGGATATGTTATTGCCCCAACCTTATTTTCCATCTTCATCGCCATGATACTTCGCCTTGTTGATGGGAAGCTTCCCACTGGCGTGACATCTTGTTGATGGACAGATGGCAAGCTGTTTAACCTCAGCAGACTGAAAGCCAAAACCAAGGTTGCAACAACATCTGTTATAGAACTCCAATATGCTGATGACAATGTAATCTGTGCGCATTCAGAAGAAAATCTACAAGCCACCTTCACAGAAGCATACGAGAACCTCGGCCTGTCATTGAACATCGAGAAAACCAAAGTGCTCTTCTGGCAGGCACCAGCCAATCCCTCTCCAATGCCAGAAATACAGCTTAATGTTTTTTGGTTTTGTTTTTTTGTCGTGTCAGGAGCGACTTGAGAAACTGCAAGTTGCTTCGGGTGTGAGAGAATTGGCCGTCTGCAAGGACGTTGCCCAGGGGACGCCCGGATGATTTTGATGTTTTTATCATCCTTGTGGGAGGCTTCTCTCATGTCCCCGCATGAGGAGCTGGAGCTGATAGAGGGAGCTCATCCGCCTCTCCCCGGATTCAAACCTGCGACCTGGCAGTCTTCAGTCCTGCCGGCACAGGGGTTTAACCCACTGCGCGACCAGGGGCTCCTTAATGGAGAAACATTAGAAAATGTTGACCATTTCCGCTCCCTTGGAAGCCACCTCTCCACCAAAGTCAACATTGACACTGAAATTCAACACCTCCTGAGCTTTGCGAGTACAGCATTTTTCCAAATGAATCAGAGAGTGTTTGAGGACCAGGACATCCGAAGGGATACCAAGATGCTTGCTTATAAAGCTATTGTACTCCCAACCCTGCTATACGCCTGTGAGACATGGACTGTCTACAGACGTCACATGCAGCTCCTGGAACGATTCCATCAGCGCTGCCTTCGGAAAATCCTGCAAATTTCTTAGGAAGACAGGCGGACAGATGTCAGCGTGCTGGAAGAAGCAAAGACCACCAGCATTGAAGCGATGGTCCTCTGCCATCAACTCTGCTGGACCGGCCACGTTGTCCAAATGCCTGACTACTGTCTCCCAAAGCAGTTACTCTCCTCCGAACTCAAGAACAGGAAACGGAGTGTTGGTGGGCAGGAAAAGAGAATTAAAGATGGGCTCAAAGCCAGCCTTAAAAACTCTGGTGTAGACACTGAGAACTGGGAAGTCCTGACCTTTGAGTGTTCCAGCTGAAGGTCAGCTGTGACCAGCAGTGCTGTAGAAATTGAAGAGGCATGAATGGAGGGCGAAAGAGAGAAACGTGCCAAGAGGAAGGCGCGTCAAACCAACCCAGACCGGGACCGCCTTCCATCTGGAAACCAATGCCCTCACTGCGAGAGAACATGCGGGTCAAGAATAGTCACCTACTGAGCCAGGACACCAAACTTGGAAGACAATCTTACTCCAATGAGGAATTACCTAAGTAAAGGTATACAGTAGACTCCTGCAGTGGTTAAGAGGTTAGAGCGTTTCGAATACCATTAGCCTGCCTAGTTCTTGCCCTTCCTGCCAAGAAGCAGGAATATTGCATTCAAAGCACCCCTGACAGATGGCCATCCAGACTCTGTTTAAAAGCTCCTTCTTTGGTTGGCCCATGAGGTCTCTTTCAACTCTATGATTCTATGATTCCTTCCACACAAAATTCTATAGCAGTATAATTCAGGGATCTAGGGCCTAAATCCCCTAAAGGCACCTTGGAAGCTAACTGGGGTCAGCCCTGGTTCGTACTCGGATGGGAGGCCACCTATGAGAATCCCAAGTGGAGTAAGTAATATTTCAGAGGGAGGAACTGGCAAAACCACCTCTGGGTAAGCCTTACCTAAGAAAACTCTGATTTGGTCATGGCAAGCAACTTGAAGGCACATGTGCACATAATTTAGGGCAAGAAGGAAGTCATTATGCGGCCGCTCTTGTTAAATACTAGCCAGGAACTCTGCAAACTATTGCATGTCCCTCAGAGATGGACCAGTCAGTCCAGATCTACCTGCTGTGGATCCCCTTCTGAGGACTTCACAGGCATTGTTGCTACTGAGCACAATCTTTGCATATGCAGCTGAACTTCTAGCTAATTGTAGCTCATAGAGAAAGAGGGAGCGGATATGCATACAGATAGTATCTGACAGAGTGTGCCCTTGTCAATGGCAGTTCATGGCACAAAAGACTAAGAGGGTTCAGATAAAAGGTGAAACAATAGGTTAAAAAATGGCATTTGTGATGTGTGAACCAGTTCCATCTTGATAATGTGAATGCCAAACCAGGATCTGAAACAGCAGTTTGAAATTGGCTTCCAAACTCCCAATTGGATATATCCTGTTGTGTAGTTTTGAATGTTGCTGGAAGCCACAGTTCAGTTTTCTCAACCTGGGGGTTGGGATCCCTGGGGAACATCACGAGGGGGTTTCAGAAGGGTTTGAGTCCACAGTGCTCTCTGGATGTAGGTGAACTACAACTCCAAAACTCAAGGTCCTCGGCTCTGGAACTCTCTCCCACTGGAGATTAGAACTGCCCCTTCTCTCCTGACTTTTAGAAATCTGGTGAAAACTTGGCTCTGGAATCTTGCATTTGATGAGTGAGTCAATATGCATTTGATGAGTGAGTTATGTGTGCCTAGTTTGGTTCGATTCCATCATTGATGGAGTTCAGAATGCTCTTTGATTGTAGGTGAATTATAAATCCCAGCAACTGCAACTCCCAAATGTCAAGGTCTATTTCCCCAAACTCCACCAGAGTTCACATTTGAGCATCTTGAGTATCTGTGCGAAGTTTGGTTCAGATCTATCATTGTTTGAGTCCACAGTGCTCTCTGGATGTAGTTGAACTACAACTCCCAAACTCAAGTTTAATGCTCACCAAACTCTCCAGTATTTTCTGTTGGCCATGGGAGTTCTGTGTGGAAAGTTTGGTTCAATTCCATCATTGGTGGAATTCAGAATGCTCTTTGATTGTAGGTGAACTATAAATTTCACCAACTATAACTCCCAGATGTCAAGGTCTATATTCCCTCAAACTCTACCAGTGTTCACATTTGGGTATATTGAGGATTCATTTCAAGTTTGATCCTGATCTATCGTAGTTTGAGTTCACAGTGCTCTCTGCATGTAATTGAACTCCAACTCCAAAACTCAAGGTTAATGCCCACCAAATCCTTCCAGTATTTCTTGTTCATCATGGGAGTTCTGTGTACCAAGTTTGGTTCAATTCCATCGTTGGTGGAGTTCAGAACGCTCTTTGATTGTAGGCAAACTATAAATCTCAGCAACTACAATTCCCAAATGACAAAATCAATCCCCGCCCCAAAACCCACCAGTATGCAAATTTGGGCGTATTGGGTATTTGTGCCAAATTTGGTCCAGTGAATGAAAATACATCTTGCAAATCAGATATTTACATTATGATTCATAACAGTAGAGAAGTTGCAGTTATGAAGTGGCAATGAAAATAATGTTATGGTTAGGGGTCACCACAACATGAGGAGCTGTATTAAGGTATCATAGGATCAGGAAGGTTGAGAAACATTGTCCTAGATGATCAAGGGAGGAGGAAGAGGAGAGAAGTGCACAAAGTGTTTATATTTCAAGCAAAAATTCTATCTGGAATTGCAGTTATGAAGTAGCAACAAAAATAATGTTATGGTTGGGGGTCACCACAACATGAGGAACTGTATTAAGGTATCACAGCATCAGGAAGGTTGAGAAACGTTGTCCTGGATGATCAAGGGAGGTGGAAGAGGAGAGATGTGCACGAAGTGTTTATATTTGGAGCAAAAAATTCTGTCTGGAATTGTGTTCACGTTTGGGGATGTTGCATATTTGTGCCAAGTTTGGTCCAGATCCATCCTTTTTTGAGTCCACTGTGCTCTCTGGATGCAGATGAACTACAGCTTCCAAAACTCAAGGTCAATGCCCACCAAACCCTTCAGCACTTTATGTTGGTTTGTGGTTGTGCTTGAACCAGCAGTTCATGTAAGGTGGTCTCCGTTTCTGACGTTGCGTTTTCCTTCTCTTCTCCTTTCCCCGTCCCCCGAACAGTTGAGAGCTGTGGGCTATGGGATGGATGAAGCTGAGCAGGACCAGTATGAAGCCCACCTCAAGGAACTCTTTGACAGCTTTGACGTCACTGGAACCGGGACCCTTGGGCAGGAGGAGCTGCGAGAGCTTGCCCACGTGTTGCACCTGGAAGAAGTGGCTCCCGGAGCGTTGCAGCAGACACTTTTGCAGGACGGCCTCCCAAGCCGGGTAAGATTGGCACAGCCATGCATTGTGTTGGGTGGCGGTTGTGCATTTGTGTACAATCCTTGCTTCTATGAAAGCCTATTCCGTGCTCTTTCCTGGGCCAGTGAGGCAGACGTGAGACGTGGAAATTTCTGTGGGAAAGACCACGGAAGCCAGGCAGTGGCAAAGGAGCTTTGCAGCTTGAAGTAGAGAAATCCTTTTTGTCTGTCTTCTGAGCTGCTTGTCTCTCCCGAGAGAAAATCCCTGTCTCTTGAAGGACTTGCATGGCATAGAGGGGAAGGAAGGAAGGAAGAGAAATAAAGAACGGTGGGAAATAATGAGCAGTTTGAATCGGGATGTGTAGTCTTTATTGTGCTAATAAGGGCACTCGCTCACAGAGACCTTCCCCTGCAAATTGGCTGCCCCAGACTTCTCTGCATAGCTTCAAACAAGATTGCCACAACCAGGACTTCAATTAGCCAGAGACGACTGTGGGGGAAACAAGCCAAAGTCCCTATATTTACTTGGTCTTGTTATGGTTGGGGATCCTTTAAACGGTTCTGGCCCAACTTATCTATCCGAACGTATCTCGGCCTATCAGCCCACCAGGACCCTAAGATCTTCTGGGGAGGCCCTGCTCTCTATCCCGCCTGCTTCACAGGTGCGGCTGGCGGGAACGAGAGACAGGGCCTTTTCTGTGGTGGCCCCTCGGCTTTGGAATGCCCTCCCCATAGAGGTGAGATCAGCCCCTTCGCTGATGGTATTTCGAAAAAGGTTGAAGACATGGATGTTTAAACAAGCATTCGATTAATCTGGTGCAACGAAACTGATGAACAAGGATTGGTTAATTACAGACGACGAAATTGGATTGCGACTACAATTAAGAGATGCATTGGATTATTATTGGTGGCCCAATAATATTGTGTATTGTGTATGTGTTTTTATGCTTTTTAATGGAATATTGCTGCTTGTCGTTGTGTTGTAAACCGCGTTGAGTCGCCGATTTAGGCTGAGAAACGGCGGTATATAAGCACAGTAATAAATAAATAAATAATGGGGGACTTTTGGCTTCCCTGGTGAAAAAGCATCTGTTGTTCCTTCTGGGCTTGATAACCACACCGTGTAATAGTTCTGGGAGGGCCCTCAAGTTATGAATAACTTTCCCACATTGGAAAAGAATATCCCACTTCTGACACCAATAATAATAATAATAATAATAATCTTTATTTATACCCCGCCAGCATCTCCCCAAATTCAAAAAGTTTAAAACCGATCAGGGCATCAAAATAAATTAAAGCCAGTTAACGAACAATCTATAAACAACGAAAGCAATGAAGAGAGAATCCTGTGCAATTATACAAGCCTGGTCCTGCCTAACAACTCATCCTCAAAGGTTCGTTGAGGCAGAAAGATGCTCACTTGTTTATGGAAAGAAGAGAGGAAATATAATTGCTTTATTGGAAGCAATTAATTGAAATACAGCTGTAGTTAATTCTGGGGCTGTAAAACAACACATGAAATGAAACTGACAATAATGAAATATATATTTCATTATATAAAATATACCAAAGGTGGTTCTCAGTCTGTTGTAGAAAAATGGCTGTGGCTCATAGCTGTTGCATTTCACTATCCTTTTCCTGGAGATTTCCAGGCAGAATACTGACTGTCTAATTGATATGCCATACATTGGCCAGCCCTGCAGCGCCATTGCAGGTTGCTTTAGTTCCTATAGTATCAGACATGTTGCATCAACTGCCATGCAGATATGGACCAAGGCTGCAAAAACTCTGAATTTGTGACAAATTTAAACAGAGGCTGGATGGCCATCTGTCAGGGGTGATTTGAATGCAATGTTCCTGCTTCTTGGCAGGGGGTTGGACTGGATGGCCCATGAGGTCTCTTCCAACTCTTAGGCAGAAAAAACGAAATGCAAAGATACAGAATGGGGGACGCATGGCTCAAGAGCAGTACGTGTGAAAAAGATCTTGGGATCCTCGTGGACAAGTTAAACATGAGCCAACAATGTGATGTGGCGGCAAAAAAAGCCAATGGGATTTTGGCCTGCATCAATAGGAGCCTAGTGTCTAGATCTAGGGAAGTCATGCTCCCCATGCTCTATTCTGCTTTGGTTAGACCACACCTGGAATATTGTGTCCAATTCTGGGCACCACAATTTAAGAGAGATGTTGACAAGCTGGAATGTGTCCAGAGGAGGGCGACTAAAATGATCAAGGGTCTGGAGAACAAGCCCTATGAGGAGCGGCTTAAAGAGCTGGGCATGTTTAGCCTGAAGAAGAGAAGGCTGAGAGGAGATGATAGCCATGTATAAATATGTGAGAGGAAGCCACAGGGAGGAGGGAGCAAGCTTGTTTTCTGCTTCCCTGGAGACTAGGACAAGGAACAATGGCTTCAAACTACAAGAAAGGAGATTCCATCTGAACATGAGGAAGAACTTCCTGACTGTGAGAGCCGTTCAGCAGTGGAACTCTCTGCCCTGGAGTGTGGTGGAGGCTCCTTCTTTGGAAGCTTTTAAACAGAGGTTGGATGGCCATCTGTCGGGGGTGATTTGAATGCAATATTCCTGCTTCTTGGCAGGGGGTTGGACTGGATGGCCCAGGAGGTCTCTTCCAACTCTTTGATTCTATTATTCTATGACAGTCAAAAATAATCTGAATGTGCTTGTCATTCCACATGATTTCCTTGCAAGTGAGTCATTGGTAGTCAAGTGATTACTTGGACTGATCTAATTAATTCTTCTCATTTTGGGAGCTGGGTATGTTTAGCCTGGAGATGTGTAGGGGAAATGGTAGATGATTTGTTTAAACATTTGAAAGGGTGTCCCATTGAGGAGAAAGGGGCCAGCTTGTTTTCTGCTACTCTGGAGACTAGGTGTTGTAACACAGCAAGCATCTGAGGATTTGTCAGGGGATGAGGGGGATGATGGGTTTCATAATAAGGAGTCTGTGTGTGATCAGAGAGAATTAGAGGCCTGAGAGTGGAAAGAATTGCAGGCAGATGAAGCCGAGGCAGATGTTTGGGATTTTGGTGCTGGTTCCCAGACAGCAAGGGAATGTAATAATAAATGATAAATGATAATAACTTTATTTATACCCTGCCAGCATCTCCCATAGGGAGTTGGGACAGCTTACAAATACACAATGGTGTCATACAACCTATAAATACAATATAGCAACAGTAAAAGTAAAAGTCCTTAGGCGGATGAGGAGTTTTCCCAGGAGACTAGATTAGGCCTGAGAATGGAGGGAGTAAAGAACAAACTAGATATTCTCACAGAATCTGTGAGAAGACCTTAAAGTCCAGGTGTGTTTGGCATGATGTCATGGGTGCCTGGACGAGCTTAAATTAAGTGGTCTGGCGTCAAGCCTCTCAGAGGAGACAATGTTTCTAAAGAATGATTTTCCTGTCTCAGCTCTCAAGTTCATGATTCGTAGTGTTTCTGGGCTCTGGTGTGATGCTGGGTAAAAAAGTTATTTCAGTGCTAGAATGCAACACCAGGACAGCAATGAATTCAAACTCCAGGAAAAACTAGTCTATCAAACATTAGGAAGAATTTGATGGTCAATTCAATAGAGGAATATGCTACCTACCTAAGAATGTGGTTGAGTCTCCTTCTCTGGACCTTTTTGCACAGATTGGATGGCTATCTGTTGTGAGGGCTTGCATTGTGTCTTCCTGCCTGACAGAAAGGGTTATATTTAATGATCCTGGGGGTCCCTTCCAATTCGATGATGCTATGAAATAGAGAGACATCTAATTAAATAGGCAGCAGATATCTAACATTTCTTGACACCTTCAGCAACTGATTCATTGGTTCTACTCGGTCGTTGAGACTATCCAACAACATCCCAACCTTTATTTGAAAACAGTACTTCTGTCAAAAGGGGGGGGGGCACCAAGCAGAAGTGTTGAGACTGCATGCCGTTCTTCCGTCCCTCCCCTTGCATGCCGTTGTGCTTTTATGCGGTGGGACTCACTCGTTTGAAAGCATTTTCTGAAAAGGAAGAGGTGAGGATGGGGAAGGGGCTTTTTGTTTTGTTTGGGGAGGTGGTGGCGAAGGGGAGAAAGGGAAAGGCCTCTCCTTTGGGGTTTGAACTTGGGTTGTGGAGCTGCAGCTGCGGCCAGAACAGATGGCCCGGTTTTGTATCACGCAAAGCAATTTTACCGTGACTGGAGCTCAAAAGAAAGATTAAGAGCAATGGGTCGTATGTGGAAGGGGGAGCCATGCATTTCAATCAAGTTACAGCAAGAGGGGAGTGGGGCAAGCCATGCAAGCCTACACACCGAGAACTGGGAAGCCCTGGCCCTTGAGTGTTCTAGCTGGAGATCAGCTGTGACCAGCAGTACTGTAGAATTTGAAGAGGCACAAATGGAGGGTGAAAGAGAGAAATGTGCCTGGTGGAGGCTCCTTCTTGGGAAGCTTTTAAACAGAGGCTGGATGGCCATCTGACAGGGGTGATTTGAATGCAATATTCCTCTTCTTGATAGGGGGTTGGACTGGATGGCCCATGAGGTCTCTTCCAACTCTTTGATTCTATGATTCTATGCAATTTCATGACAGGACTGCCTTTCGTCTGGAAACCAATGCCCTCACTGCCGGAGAATTTACTTGGAGACTATCCTTCGTTGACTGAGTAAGATTGTCTTCCAAGTTTGGTGTACTGGTGGTGGGTCCGTAGTTGACTGTGGAGCCCTATTCTTGACCTGCATCTTCTCCCACAGTGAGGGCATCCATTTCCAGACGGAAGGCAGTCCTGGTCAGGGTTGGCTTGACACGCCTTCCTCTTGGCACATTTCTCTCTTTTGCCCTCCATTCATGCCTCTTCAAATTCTACAGCACTGCTGGTCACAGCTGACCTCCAGTTAAAGCGCTCAAGGGCCAGGGCTTCCCAGTTCTCAGTGTCTGTGCCAGAGTTGTTAAGGTTGGCTTTGAGCCCGTCTTTAAATCTCTTTTCCTGTCCTCCAACATTCCCTTTTCCATTCTTGAGTTCGGAGTAGAGCAACAG